TCTAACAATCAGTCATTTTAGTTTATTACCATGTGTTATTTGGCACAACTTTCAGTATTACAGAAATCTTCCCACTTACTAATATGTGCAATTATAAAATTATTCCATTAATTTGAAGAAATGGATATGATTCATAAAAATCTGCATGGTAATAAAATCAGTCTTATGTATCACAAAATTGAGAAATGAGATTGTTTTTATTTGTGGTCGTTTTTGTGCAAAAGACTAACATTGTATTTATTTGAAAATATACGTACCATAATACAATTTAACATGCAGGGAAATTCTCTGCTTCTTTATGCAATGAATTGGACAGTATTTCACTACCTGACAACTCTACTTCTGGAAAAACTAAGAAATGTATTTATACATCACACTAAATCATGATTTATTAAGTAATGCTGTACTGAATAAATATTATTGATAGGTTCACATAGCAATAGCGCTTAGACTTATACAGTGTATACCACTTCATAGTGCTTTACAGCACTTTCTTAGCAATTTACAGAATCAGCATGTTGCCCGCAACAATCTGGGTCCTCATTTTTACCAGCCTTGTGGAAGGCTAAGTCAATCATGAGCCAGTCAGGATCAAACTCCTAGCAGTGAGCAGAGTCAGCCTGCAATACTACATTCTAACCACTGTGCTACCACGCCTCTTCCATATAAATCACAATGATTAAGTTCGCACAACAGTAGGCATACTATATCTGGGCTGCAGAAATCTGGATGATACTAAAGGAAGCAGATAGAAGGTATGTTGCTCTTTATTGCCATATAATGAATGTCTGGATTTTTGCAAGCCAGATGCAATACATTTGCACAACATGCTAAACCAACAATGAACAAACCCTTTTTTGATTTAGTACACTGTGTGAACCTACTGGAAATTCACCAACAGGAAAATGTACATGTCATTAAAGTGAAATTATGGTTAGTCAGTATGAATTATGGAACAGAATCACTGAAATATATTATAAATTTTATCAGAAAATTTATTAGAAATGTGGACCCCAGGTATGCATTTTTACACCAGGGATACATGAGGCTAATTACATCGTGTACTTATATTGCTGCATATTGTTGTCTCACCTCATCCACAAATAATTCTTTTTTTCCATCGAACCATGTCTGATTCTCAAAGATTGCCTGGACAAGATCCTGCAGTTTTCTTGACAAAGTTATTTCCCATCCTAGGGCTGAAAAATAGCTCAAGTTTCCCCATCTGGCTTTGTCCTTAAAGTGAATCTAAAACTCAGTCACCTGGTTTCCAGCCTAATACCTTAACCGTTGCACCAAATTGGTTTTCAAATAATTTTAATGTAATATGTATATAGTTATAGATAATAACAGTATATTGTGCAGATCAAGTACCTGACAGAATGTCATAGAGAAAGCAATCAAGGTCTCTTTTTTTGTCTAAAAGGACAAGACATAGAATAATAGTTTTAATTACAGAAAGATAGAATTCTTTTTTTCTTTTTCTTTTTTTTAGCATTCAAGTAACATTTAACAGCAAGAGTACTTTAAAAGTTGAACTAATCATCCACTAATCATCTGTTCGTATGTTTTAGCAGAGGACTGTCATGGATATTTTACAATGGCCTTCTATACAGATCAGAGAATTTCTTTTCAATTTCTATATCAAAAGAACCTACAAGAAGATTTACATAAGAGAAACAACAAAGAGATAAGTAAACAAAAGGTTTATTTATAAGATTAAGAAAAAATGAGAAACATTGCCCTCTGCTGTTCACATAAATTATTTATTTTCCATGTGTGTGTAATAGACACACACACACATGTACATTGTGTGTCTGTGTGTAAAGATTCCCAGGATTGCAGAACTGGCAAAAAGCTGTTTCTATCCTCACTTCTGTTGTCATTCCCATGAGACATAATAGTATACTTACAAGAGGGGATCAGGCTCTTTTTTGGGGGGGGGGCACTTCCCTGATCTCATCTTCATAGGTTCAGAGAACTGGCAGCTAAAAAATACACTATCCCAGGTTCAAGATCTTGGACCTTGGTTTTGAACAGGAGAAGGGAGAGATTGCTCTCTTCCAGCAATTCTTCAGTCCCATAGATCAGCTCACTGAGAGTTGATACACTGAAAGCCTGCTTTGAAAGAATCAGACCCTCTTGCCACTAAAAGACAAACTCAGGATCCAAAAAGATCTTGACAAACTTGAACAATGGGCCCTATCCAATGAGTTTCAATGTGGAGAAAAGCAAAGTTTTACATTTAGGCAGGAAAAATCAAAGGTACAAGTACAGATTGGGCAAGACCTGGCTCAAAAACAGTAACTGTGAGAGGGATCTTGGAGTCCTAGTGGATGATCACTTGACTATGACCCAGCAGTGTGCAGCAGCAACCAAAAAAGCTAATACAATCCTGGGTTGTATAAACAGAGGCATAGAATCAAGATCACGTGAAGTATTAGTACCACTTTATAAAAACCCTAGTAAGACCAGACCTGGAATACTGCAGCCAATTTTGATCACCATATCACAAAAAAGATGTTGAGAGTTTGGACAAAATTCAGAGAAGAGCAACTAAGATGATCAAAGGCCTGAAGACTAAAACATACGAAGAACGGCTGCAGGACTTGGTTTGACTAGTCTAAAGAAAAGAAGAAATAGGGGAGACATGATAGCAGTATTCCAGTATTTGAGGGGCTGTCACAAGAATAGGGGGTCAACTTATTCTCCAAAGCACTAGAGGGAAGGACGAGAAACAGTGGTTGGAAATTAATCAAAGAGAGAAGCAATCTGAAATTAAGGAGAAACTTCAGTGAGGACAATTAACCAGATTAAGCAGATTTCTGCCTCCAGAAATCATGAATGCTCCATCACTGGAGATTTTTAAGAAGCGCCTAGACCACGGGTCAGCAACTCGCGGCTCCGGAGCCGCATGTGGCTCTTTGAGCCTTCTCCTGCAGCTCCCAGCCTCCTCTGCCATTTGCAGAGACAGAGACAGAGAGAAGCACTTGCGCTTCCCCCCCCCATCTCTCTCACTAAATACTGAAACTATGCCATATTCCTGAATTTTTCTTTTATACATTCTCAGTTTAATCCTAAACCTTGTACAGTATATCTAGAAATATGTCTGACTGAATAGATTCATGGCAACCTTAATAAAGGGATTTTTATTTTGAAAAGTTTTTCCCCTTAGTAACTTTGGGGAGAGATTGCTTTGACATTAAGTTGTAAATATTAATATGCAAACAATAAAATGTATTATTATATCAGTGAATAATTTTCATTCTCTCCCTTTTTACAAAAATATATCTTGGGTATTCCCATTGCCTTTTGTACAGTGGCTTCTCTACTGGGATTTAAAGGCTGATAATGGTTCTGGGAGACTCAGTTTGGTGTAGTGATTAAGGCATCAGGCTAGAAACTGTGGGACTGTGAATTCTAGTCCTTCCTTAGAAACAAAATCAGATGACCTTAGGCTACTCATCTTCTATGAGTCCTATGAAAGAGGCAATGCAAATCACTTTTGAAAAAATCCTTGATCGAATGCTTGCAAGCTTAAGGATGTGGATTGGAGACAACAGGTTGAAGCTAAACCCCAAGTAAGACAAAGGTGCTACATTGGGGTTCTCTATCAGTACCAATGTGATCCTTGGATGGACACTATGCATGAAAAAATCTGGGTCTTTAATTTGGGGTTGCTTCTGAACTCATAGCTCGTTTCAACAGCACTTGGAAGGCATGGCCAGAAAGGTCTATAGTCCACTTTAGTTGTATGCCAATTGTGAATTTCCCTGGAGTAAAAGGACCCAGTAACAGCAAATTGTGTTCTCATCACTACCTGGTTAGACTACTGTACTGCAAAGTACTTGACATACGGCTGCCTCTATAGACCACTCACAAACTACAACCGTTCCAGAAGACCTATCCACTATGCACACTTGAATTCTATGAAAGACTCAGTTCTTTTAATATCTGATCCAGAATGCAGCATTGATTTATTGATTGGTACAGGTCAATAAGAACATGCAACATGCATTATCTGGGACAGAACCTGCACTGGCTTCCTGTGCTGCTGCTCTAGACTGGCATCTTAACTATTACACCATAATGGCCCTTTTAGCACATTTTAGCACAAATTTATCTTAAAAGCCCTATATGACTTGACACCAAGACATTTCTAAGACTGTTGTATCTAGTTTCAATTTGTAAATCATGAGAAAATCTCCTAATGGCCTCCCACTTCTGCAAAGTGAGGTGGCTGGAGGGCTACAGTACTATTTTTTTTTTTATTGCTGCCTCTGTGCTCTGAAAGTCTCTCCCTAGAAATTTGATCAGCTTCCCAGTTGCTTTCTGCAAAATATAAAAAAACAGCATTATTGTAGCCAATAGTTGAGGTATGTAGTCACGTCATCTATTTTATTTTCTAATTGTATGTTAAGCTCTGCTTGTCTTCATTTTATCTGTGTGATTTGTTGTTAGTTCTACTGATTACAGTGAACGTTTTACTGTATTATTGTATTTATTGTCGATATGTTGTGAATCCCTGAAAGTCTCTTCCCCTGCAGCAGGTATGAATTGAATAAATTACATCCTATTAAATATATCAACCAAAGCAAATACTAAAAACAAGTTCCAGGATTCTTCTCATTGGACAATTGGGAATAATAACCTGTGAATGGGGAGGATGGGAAGAGGCGGTGTAGCTTCTGGGGTTGAAGTCGTTGTTTCTTTCTCCAACCTTTTCCACAATTGGAAGGGTTACCTGCCATAAAAGGTAATTCTCGGGTTTAGCACCAAAGTATTCATATGGGCTGCACAAGGAGCTATTTCTAACCCGATTACAATGATAAATGAATGGTAGGCAAATTCTTTTTAAAAAGACTCCCAGGGCCAAGACGAGTAGAGGCCCCCACCGAAAGGAAGGGAGGTGCTGGAACCGTAGAGAAAGGAAGTAGGAGCGAGGCAGTGGGCGCTCGAGCATTAAGGGCGGGGCTTTGGAAACGCCGTCATTTCCTCTGCGGAGAAGGCTAACGAAGAGACGGTTTGGCGTTAGAAACCGCGGTTGGCGTCCACGGCTCCTAAGCGGGAGAATGAGCGACAGCGGGGAGCAGAACTACGGCGAGCGGGTAATATACAGTGCTTGCGAGCGCGGCATAAGCAGCCTGTTTAATGAAAAGAGAAAATACGCATTTTCGGTTTTTTTTTTCTTTTAAAGAAAAGGCATCTTGACTTCCCTTTTCTCTGGGACTGGCGTGGAGCTAAGAGGGAAAGATCTTGAATGGGGAAACGGCCCCATCCTCCGGCCTAACGTCCTCTCCCTTAGCCTGAATCGGCTTGATTTGGCGCGAGAAAATGGCCCATCGTTTCCTGTAGAGAGGGCGCGCTGTGACGTGGAGCTCTATGGTGAGCCCCTCTCCCGACGCCATCTTGGGCAGTTGACCCGCAGGAACGCGCCGCCGCGGGGACAAAATGGCCGCGGAAGATTGGCAACCTTTCCTCGCTGGAATGCGATAGAGCTGATTTCTTTGCAAATGGCAAAGCGCTATCCCCGGTGTTTGCATCCAGACATCTCTGATAGACATTTCATTCTTTTTCGCCGTTTCGTGTTAATGTGTTTCAGCTTCGCTCGAAATTTTTGCTCTTGCACACGTGCACCCTGAATTCTTATATAATTTGATTTGTTAACGGAAAAGCTTTTGTCACCAAAAACCCCAGCATAGCTGTATTGTAGCACACACAGTTTTCTTAAAAAACACATTGAACAATAACTTTCAATATGGGTTCTTTGAATGTAAACGTAACATATCCTATTAGTGTTTGTGGAATAGAAGGGCACAGAATAAGTGAGGCTTCGCCGAAGCAGTAGATAATTTAAAAAGCTGAAATTTTTATTTCAAACTATATTGGCTTCTCAAACAGTGTAATATTGATTTATCTGCTAATTGGCAATAAAAGCATTGGTTTAATATAGCTGAATCTGAAACACAAAGCAGAAAAAAAGGTGTGCGCAAAGGCTGCACATCAATTGCGATACGGTGTTTAATGTATTAGGCTGCTGCTTTATAGAGGGTTTCATTAATTCAACATTACAGAAGGAGAAGTCATTTTGCAACTTTTCTAACAACTGAAAATTGCATGACAAAAAAATAGATTTTGTGCAAAAGAAGAGAGAATGGAGTCTGGAATTTTGGAAAATACAAATCAACTAATCTGTTCAGGTCCATGTTTAGGAATTCTCTAATCCAGCCATGGTATATTAATGTTTTTAATCAAATTGGATTGCTGATTCAGAAAGAGAAATTGAGTAAGAAAATGGCACTCGGTTTTTTTTCACATTTTCATTTCTGTTTTCTGTACTGAGAAAGTGGGGTGAAATGGCAAAGAAAATGATGTTTATATATAGTATCCATCATTCTTAATCCGTTAAAATTTAATTTATGGATTATTGTAGTTTGTAGTTGTGAATCCTAAATATTATATGACTGTTGCATTCAGTAGTACAATATAATTTAGCACATATTATGATAAATGCCTATAAATGAGTACTACTTTTACTGTGTAAAATTGGCTGCAGTAGATTTTCCTAATAGGCATGGTTTTAGCACTACAGTTTTAAGTTTGCATTGATGTCACTGCTGTAGATCAAACTATAGAGTAAGAAAAAATTGCTTGCTTTTTTTAAAAACACTCCTTTCCTGGGAAGCTAATTAATAATAAGTTGAAAGTAGACAAAGGTATCCTGAAGCCAAACTTGAGTTAAGTGGACATATCAATATAGCTTTCTCCACAACAATGCATAAATTGTTCCATAATTTTGCTCTTGAGATTTTTTCCCCAGCATCACACCTACTGGTAGGGACTAATTGATCTTCTAAGCCCATATATTGTACAGTAGAGTCAGCTAAGTGATGTTACATTAAGTAGTAATGTCTATGGAGATTCTCAGTCATCCAGATCATGGTTGTCCTAAAAGTGGTTTTCAAAAGGCAGATGAACTAGCTTGGGGGTTTTTTCTTGAAAACATTTCACTTCTCATTTAGAACTGAAGAAGCTTCTTGGATGAGAAGTGAAATGTTTTAAAGAAAAAACCCAAGAAAGTACAGTTGTCTTTTGGAAAGCACCTTTGGCACAATTAATTAGTAACATGCAGTGAAATAAAGAAAAGGTTTGCTGTCCTTAAGAAATATATATTCAATTCTTCATTAAGTTAATTTATTAAGTTTGCAAATTAATTGCAGTTTGACTCACAATTTATGACTTTAGGCTGAATGATTGAAATGTATTTTATACTATCAGAGCAGCCTCCAAAGATAATTCTACACTAAATTCTGTGGATTTTTTAAAACTTAGTTGCATAGTTGTATGAGGATTATCTTTTGGAAAAATATTTCTAATTCAGATTTGCTTCACAGAAAAATAATTCTGGCTTTTTTTTTAAAAAAAACAACCCCATTCAATGTAGCTGGAAAGGAGGATATCTTTGTCAATATATTCAAAATGGGTCTGCGAATATTCTGGAGAGCAACAGTGCATGGTAAACACTCTTAAATAAATGGAGACAAGACAAAGAAATGCATAATGGGAAGGTTTTATCTCCTGGAGAAAATTGCTGAACATGCTGCTAGCTGTGGGTGCAGTTAACTGCAAGGTAGAGATTAGTATAGCAAGAGCCTAGATAAATGTTGGGGAAAGGAGTAATGTGGAAATGAAAGCATAGAAACTGGATAGATGGGATAAAACTATGAAGTCATGAACTCAGTGTGGGAGTTAAACTGAAAGGGATGTGCCAGATCTGTGAAGACAGAAGGATGAGGGGTTCACATGTTCTTTTTATGTAATCAGAATTTAAAAGTTTGTAAACTTATCACTGAAAATTTAATATAGCTTGAGCTTTTCCTCAAAATATTTTTAAATCTTTAACACTCCTTGAGACAGCAGACTAAAAAAAATGTTGAAGTGCTTATAGTCTGAATTTCAAAACAAAGTTATATAATTATCTCTCTGCTCAGGACTTCCCTAATGTAGGAAGCAATCACACTACAGTATATTATGAAATTACTGATCTCTTCCCAGATTTAATAAAGTAAGGTTCGCCATCACTGCTCTACTCCATAGAGCAGGATAGAAAAAATAATAACATCTGACAAGCCTGATTTTCAATCTTAGGCTTATGTCGTGACTGCAGAAGACCTTTTTCATTTTGAAGAATGCTGTTCAAGCTTTCTCTATCCTTGTCTTTACTTCAGTGGTCATGTCCCAGCTTTCATGTAAATTAGAACCGAGGTGTGTGATCCTTTCAACTTTTTCTAATGGTATTCCTTCCCAATTTATTGGTGGTAAATTAACGGGTTGTTTGCTGACGACCATGATCTTGGTTTTTGAGATGTGTATACCATGAATTATTTGGGATTTCTTACTGCAGCCAACTCACGGTATTTTTCATTTTAAAAATTGATTACTAGTTGTGCTTAGCTATTCTGCATGTGGATTTTCATAAAATAGCAAAATGAATAAATGACATACATATTTTGAACATAAATTATACAGAGTTTTATCTTTCATATTTTACTCAATGATATTGTTCTGACTTGGGAATCACATTGGTGGAAGAAAATCTGCATGAAGCTTGAAAACCATTAAGATTCTAGAGGAACACGCTTTACTGGTTTCTAGAAAGCTTTTGCTGCCAAAACGAAAGAGGGAATGTGTTTTAAAAGCAGATTATTTTTATGTGGAATGCATTTGTTGGCTCTCATGTAGCATAAATAGGTAATCTTTTTGATCAGTGAACATTTTTAGACTTTTCAAAAGTCAAACATTATGAATGCTGTTGCAAAACTGCTTCTGTGTAAATCTTGCTTTTCCGTAAACTATCTCCAATATTAGCCATGTTTGGGAACAAGGCTAATAGTTTATTGGTTCCAGTAAGTACTGTCTTCTAGCACTAAGCTATATGGATGACTGCAAGCAGAACTTTTCACTTTTAAAAACCTAGGAAATCAACTAGCATTCTTTTTTAAGATACCAAATTATGCTTTAAAAGCAGCTTGCTTAAGGAGAAACTAGCATTTTTAAAAGCTTGGTTTCTTGATTTGTATATAATACCATTCTTCCATCCAAATAGAAAATGCATGTGAATCTGACATTTTATTTGTACTTACATATTATCACAATGCAAATCCCCTAATGGGGTAATGTGACAGTAAAATGTCTGGGCCATTACCTCATAGGCAGTTGCATTCTGCATCATCTGAAGTCTTTTAGAAGTCTTCTAGGGCAACCCTTTATAGAACAAATCATAGTAATTCGATCAATGGGTATCAATACCACAAATATTTATATTCAGGGCCTCCTTTTTGAGAAATGGCCACAACTGAGTGCACCAGCCAAAGCTGAAAAAGGTCTTTTTGGCTACAGGGTGCATATAGTGAATTAAGTCATTCTGAATCTGAGTCCTAGATCCCAATTTAGGACTTATATTACATTTCCCATGAGATATATATTTGATATATAATTTCAGTGTCAAGCTGAACGTAGTATCTAATTCATTTTTTTCCTAAAACAAGCTTAATTATAACATTTGGAATTGTATAGTTGCCTGCAGCTAAATATAGGTAATCCTCAAGTTATAACCGTAATGGATCCTGCTCATTATAGTTGTAAGTTTGGGACAAACGTTAAATGAACTGAATCAAATTACAACCAGCCATCCCTTCCCTGCCCAGTGCAATCATTAAATGAACCTGTGGATTGTTAAATGGAGCATGGGGTACCTCAGGAGTAAGGGTAATCCTGGGAGGCCTAGTCCAACCTTTTCACCCATTGTACCATTTTTAGGATATGGCAATATCCGAGTACCACCAGTTGCCTAGCAAGGTGTCAAAAACTTGATGACCAAAAAGAAAGAAAAAAGTGATGAAGTACTGGTAGTCCTCAACTTACAACAGTTCGCTTAGTGACTGTTCGAAGTTACAATGGCACAGCAGAGCAAGACACCTGCCTGCCCACCCAGCGACGCTCTCATTCCCCTCCCCCGCTACCACTTTTCTAGGATGGTCGCGTACCACCTGCCAGGTGCCAATGTACCACAGGTGGTACCTGTACCACTGGTTGAAAACCTCTGGCCTAGTCCACCTGCCTCAGACTGCTCAAGGCCTGCCCCCTGAGATATTCTTTGCTTTGCTTCCTGTCCCTTGGGGTCCCACATGCCCTGCTGATCGCTCACCTTTTAACATAGACCAGGGGTAGGCAACCTTGGCTCTTTTATGACTCTTGGACTTCAACTGGCTCAGAAATTCTGGGAGTTGAAGTCCACGAGTCATAAAAGAGCCAAGGTTGCCTACCCCTGACATAGACCTTTTGGAAACTCTGTTGCATTGGGAACGAGAGCAAGCTGTTCTGTCCCTCCTTGTCCCTAGACTGCACAGCTAAAGCCTGGAAGCAAATGCCATTTTCAGAGTACCCATAATGAATTGTGGGCCTATCAAAATGGCACTTGCTTCCAGAAGGGAAGGAGAAAGGACCCAGAGAAAAGGAACTTGTTCTTCCCCAATGCCTCCTACTGATTCCCACATATGCACACTTCATAGCTGTCTGTCTTGCCAGTGAGAAACTGTGGAAGGAGAATTCTGGGCCTGCCTTTCTTCCTTGGTTCTGCCATTGCATTTCCACCTACCAAGATGCTCTTGCTTTTCTGGGACAAAACAAAGACCGGTTTTCTAACCTTTTGTAGCTTTCTAGGCTGATCAGCTGCCTGTTAAGAGATGGCAAACCCTCTCCTAGCTAGCTGTTGAGAAACTGCAAATCCTCATGGCTTTTGCTAGGCCAGTGGTGGCGAACCTATGACACGGGTGCCAGAGGTGGCACTCAGAGCCCTCTCTGTGGGCACGCGCACTGTCGCCCGTCTTAGGCCTTCAGCTGGGTTTTATAAAACCTTTTCGCTTTAGGCCTCCGCCGCCGTGTGCAAAAAAAAAAAAACGGTTCAATCAGTCAATTTTAACTTCTCGCGGGAAAAAAAAGATCTTGCAAAGTTGGAATTGATTGATTGAACTTTTTAGTCCCATCCAGTCTGCCGTTACCACCGCAGCCACGCCCACCCAATGGGCCACACCCACCCGGCACTCGACGATGCATAAGTGGGTTTTGGGTTGCAGTTTGGGCACTCGGTCTCTAAAAGGTTCGCCACCACTGTGCTAGGCTATGGGAAAGCTTCAAAGGCCACAAGGGATTGTCAGCATGTGGGAAACAGCAGTTGCTTCCAGCAGAGGCATGGGCAACAGGCCCAAGGGCTGTGGGTCACATCAGGGCAGGATGGGGTGGAGGTGTGCTTCAGTGTCCCAATGGTGGGGTCATAAGGGTGAATGACTGCAGGGCCGCTGTATCTTCATAATTGAAACAGGTTTGTATGTAGTTTGGGGGCATCTGTCATAACTTTAGTCGTTAAGTGACCTCTTGTATCCCAAGGACTACCTGTATAAATTATGTCCATGATTTCAGTTCATGCAGCTTATATGACACTATAGTACAAAACATTAAATACTCCATATTTGGAGGGAAGCTCAGGCTACTAGTTACTGGAATGTAATTGTGTGAAAAGTAAGTAGCATACTCTGTCTAAACAAACAATGATTCATTTATTCTCTAACACATATGTTAATAACTTAACAGATTTTCCATTTTTATTCCATGGAAATAAACTCTTATTTTGCTCAGTAACTTTCCAGTTTAGTTGAATTATTTTTGTGTGCCATTCCCATAACTACATTCTCAATCTGTCATGACTGCTGGATATAGTAAATATTATATAGGGCTATTTTGCAGTCATTTGTGATAAAACAAAACCCCAACATTATGAAAAAAAATATGGCCCTGTAATGAAAATGTATAAATAATACTTGCTGTAATTGTAAATGTAGTTTGCTACAAAATCTTGCACCATTGTTTAGAAAATACATGAAATATTGAACTTCATTTAAACTATATATTGTACATTTTTTTAAAGACAAAAGCTTTGAGATTTCAGGATTCTTTTTTAAATGAAAAACTTATACAAATGTTGTAAATAGGTAGATCCTATTTTTTTTAAAAAAATATTTGTTCCAGCTCTAATGTGAAGACTTTGTCAGGTCACATTTTTCAAATAAGCATTATGTACCAAAGGTTTATGAGTTGGGGTTTCTTTCTATTTTCATGGGGTCTGGGGTGTTGAAGAAAGAGATATACCAAGAAGTTCAGGTGAGACTGTGTATCTATGAACTTGCCTTTAGCAGTAATAAGTTGTAGTTTTAGCCATTGTCAGTGCTGAATGAGTGATAAAATTGAAATGTTGCATGAGAACGCACATAGTTTTATAACATGATAATGTCCTGATTGAATTGTCCTAAGAGTTCCTGTGATGTTACATTTGTATTTTGTATATGGTACAGCAACAGTTGTATTATAGTATTTTTGTATTGTCGTTGCAAATATTGTAGGAACTAGATAGATATTATTTGTTCTAAGATAATATGTATTAATTATTTAACATAAAAGCTACCAAATTTTAAAATATGAATAATATGGAAAATATATTGTTTAAGACAAATGTATTTTCTGTTGTCATGATTAATTTTTAGCATAAAATTTTCATTGTGACATATCAGAAGTCTGACAGCACTTTACTGACTTAAGAAAATGTTATAAAGCTTTTATAATAAGCTTTATATGTCTCAGTCCATCAGCTGCATTTCATAAAAGCTCACACAAGCATATGCTTTTCAGTGATTCTTTTTTAGTCAAAAAGGTGCTGCTAGGGGCTTACTGGTTTTTTTTAATGCTGTCATAGATTAAGACCGCTCTCCTACCTATGATAGAATTCTCCATAATTGCTGAAGAAATGAAAGCATATGCTATTGAGAAATAAGGTTCTTAAGTTTATACATATACTCTATCTCTATTAAAAATAGCTCAGTTGAGTGGAATTATGTAAATACGTGATTTTGAAATACATTACTAATTTCTAAATGTTAAATATGAAAAAGTCCTCAGCTATTTGGACATCTAAAATAGGCCTAATAAGAAAATTTGTAGCTGGTCAATCATTATCAATTGAATTGACATTTTTCTAAAAAAATACAATCATAAACCTGCATCACAGTACTAGAACAAAACTGCATACTAATTAAAAGCCGTGCAAACACATAGCATTTTTTCTAGTTTCAGTTTTGACACTACATATCTATCCTGGAGTTTTAAATATTCTTCATCCTGTTCTTTTTTTATTAAGGTTAATGTTGAAGAAGGAAAATGCGGAAGTCGCCATTTGACAAGTTTTATAAATGAGAATTATTTGAAGCTCAGGAATAAGTGAAGCTGAAATTTGAAAAAAAAGAAAGTGAATGCATGCTAATTATCAGACCAGAAGTCCCACTTATAGAATATTGAGCAATTTGTGTGAAGTGGGGAAGATGAAAGAAGTCAGAATTTGAAACGGAAGAATGAAGAAAAGAAATAAAAATGAAGTTAAGATAAGAAGTAATCTGGAATCTGAAAGCACTACGCTAAGTAATTACTAGTCTGTTTATGTGTCCCTGTATATTTTGATAAACATGCATGCATGCATTATTTGTTTAATAGAAGAAAAAACATGCAGGGTTTTTTTTAAAACAAAAGTGCTTAACAGGCAAAAAAAATCCTAAATCTAGGCAGTTCTAGTGGCAACTGCCCGGACACATAATGGAGACAAAGAACTTTATTTTTCACCAGAACTTCTTTAGACTAAAATACTAAAGACAGTGAACTTAAACTAAATTATGCATTTTCTATACACAGGAGTCCCGTTCTGCTTCCAGAAGTGGAAGTGCTCATGGTTCTGGCAAGTCTCCAAGGCACTCCCCTGCTAGGTCCAGATCCAAGGAGGGTTCAAGGAGATCTAGGTCAAAATCTAGATCGAGATCTGAATCTCGGTAAGCTTATGTGAAGTATATTTGTTAAATTTATCTCAAATGTTAATTGGCTGTCTAAATACAGGTAAGATGCTCTTGCATTGAGCTTAGTGACTGTATTCATGTAGTTTTCTTGGCAGTGCTAACATGAGTGATTTGCAATTATTTCCTTATGAGATGTATGTTTGCAAGCTTGTTTTTAATTCTAGTGATCTTGGAATTTAGTGCTAAAATTTTCAGATGGTCCCCCAGTCATTAATTCTCAATTGTTACTTAAATCTTGTTTAGTTACTATGGGTTCCCTAGTGAGTTTAATTGCTGTATTGTACATAAGGATAATATGGCTTGTCTTGATTGAGACAATGGGTGATTAAAATTTTGCTAGGCAAATAAATAACGTAGCTGGATCTTAATATAACTGGACTCTAGAGTTCATTACAGGTAGTTCTCAAATTATGGCCATTCATTTGGCAACCATTTGAAGTTACGATGATGCTGAATGAAAGAACATACAACTGGTCCTTGAAGTTCCGATTATTGCCATGTCCACATGGTCACATGAACAAAATTCCGGTATTTGGTAACCAACTCATACTTACAACTGATTACAGCAACCCATGGTCACCTGATCACCATTAGTGACCTTTCCTGCTGGCTTCCCACAAGCAAAGTCAGTGGGGAATCTAGCAAGGAAGATCACATTGCCCAGGTAAGTCTCCCTCCTGACCTGCTTATTCCATGTCCTCCTTCCCCTGTTCACTCAGATGCACCTTCACCTGCACACACTTTCTCTAGTCTGCTTGTACTTGCATACACCACAGCATCAGCGGTCCCCAACCTTTCTGGCACCAGGAACCAGTTTCAGAAGAAAGGTTGTCTTCGGGGGGTGGTGTTCACAACCTAGATCTTGTGCATGTGCAGATGAAGCTTCGCTTGCGCAACCCATGTTCCTAACAGGCCATGGACTGGTACCAGTCCATAGCCCAAGGGTTGGAGACCCCTATCCTAAGATCCACACTAAATGAAAGAACCTTCTGATTTAACTATTGGGAAATAAAAACCTCCAGGACCTCTCCATCCCACAGTGGCATCCCGTGCTCCTTGCCTTACTCTCTCCATTTTCACCTTAGTGACTCGCACATCTTGAGTTATAACAACAATCTCGATTGCTTTACTAAGCGATGCAGTCGTAAGACATGATCTCACACAACTGCATTACTTAATGTTGGCAGTCCTGCTTCAGTTGCAGTCATAACTTGAGGATTAGTTGTACACAAAGGTTAAAGTTTAATATTTTAGTATCTCTAGATTTAAAGAATATCTGGCAGCATATGTAAAAAACATGCATGTATGTATATATGTACACAAATGTACATTCCACTCAGAGAAATGGATTCCAGAATTGTCCATGAAGTTAACCTACCAATAGTAGAATATTATGTCAACAAGGAAATGAATAAAAAAAAATCTGCCTTTGTATATTTTTGCTTTGAAATTCCTGATGCCTCACTTGGATTCACTTACACCAGAAACATGCTTTAATTCAGATATGTTTCTGATATATACTTTTCCTACTGAGTTCTTCAAAAAAAAGTCCATGCTCCAGGTTTCCTTTCCATAAGAAGTATGGTTGAAGGCAACACAGGACCACCACCTTGGTTGCAGTATTGATGTTACTAAAGGTGTGCACAGAATGAGAAAAATACCCTGAGCTTGGACTAATCAAATGTCCCAGATTGCAGTGGATCAAAACTTTAAGCAATTTGAGTGCCCTACTATAACTGACTTTGAGTTAGAAACTCAAACATTGGATTTTTGTTGTGAACTTGGAACATTTGAATTCTTGATTTTGTACTTGAAATGTTTTGTGCACTGGTTCATTTCTTCCTTATTAATCTTCAGGTACGACGTAAAATCTATTTCAGAATTAGCCAGTATGACCTGAATAGCTTTTATTGTGCCTGTTAGCCCTTTGCTCCCATCCTTTTTTGGGAGCAACTCCCAGAGGATTATGTAACTAGAAATGTTGTGAACTCAGTTTTTTGGCCTTTTAATTCCAAAAAATATTCTTCCTGAGTCAGTTGAAAATGTTGGTTCCACCAATTCCAGGAAGATGCTTACAGTCTCCATTCTTTGATAGGAGCATTGCATACGTATAGAGGTTGTACATTTTAGTTCTAATATAGTAGCAATTTTATAAGTCTGCTATTAATAAGATGTAAGATGTGTGCTTATCGTTCACAATGACATTTTTAATTTTCATGCTTTATAGATCCAGATCAAGGAGAAGTTCTCGCAGACATTATACAAGATCACGTTCACGTTCTCGATCCCACAGAAGATCAAGAAGCAGATCTTATAGCCGCGACTATCGTCGCCGACATAGTCACAGCCATTCTCCTATGTCTACTCGTCGGCGTCATGTTGGCAACAGAGTAAGGCTGGGATGGCAGCAGTTGACCAGAGATAATTCAGCTGTGTGTGTCTTTGGAGGTTCTAAAGTTTTCAAATTACCCAGAAATCTTATAAAGTTATAATTGTATTGTAAATAATGCTAATGTAATTGTTAAGTTGCATTGATGCTAACTGTATTTAGTAATTTTTATTTAAAATAGATATTGTATACTAATGATTTGTGTTATTATGTCTTAATTTACATCTTTCAGATTGCTTTAAAGTTTGCTAAGATATTTTTAACTCTTAATGAGTATAGATTATATAGTTTAATATATTTTAAGATGGAAAACATGATCATAGTTATATATTGTAGTGATTTTAATGATTCACTGCAAAAAAAAACACATTCACTTCTATCCAAATTTCATGTACTAACAAAAATGTCTTGTATAAACAAACCTATGTTTGTTAAAAGACCAATACAAATGTAGTTTATAATGAATGTGTCAAATTATACTTTCTCCACTGACTAATCAGAGGTCATGAAGAATTTCAGTAGAAATATAGTAAGAAAACTATTGCACAAAATCCTCTAATTCAGAGATTTTTAAGTTCTTTGGGCAATGGATCCCTTTGAGAATCTGTTGAAACCTATAGAGCTCTTTTAAGAAAATTTATTTAAATGCATAATATAAGATACATGGTTGTAGATTGTATTATAGGGAAAACTATTTATACAGATAGTCCTCATTTAGCAATCACAATTGGGATGGTCATTAAGCAAAACAGTTGTAAGACTGTGCTTGTGATCTTCAGCTTTCCTTTGCCTTACAACTTGTCTTAGATTTATCATCATTCAATTATCAATTATTCAAAGTTACATTGATTTTGAAAAAAATTATTTGCTGCCAAATCCTTGCACGTACGATCACCATCAAACTTTAGGCACTTGGCACCTGGCATGTATTTATGGCAGTTGCAGGATCCTGGGGTCAAGTGATTATCATTGATTACTTTTCGGGGGAGCTTCCAACAAGCAAAGTCTGTGGAGGAAGCATGAATTGTTTAATGACCATGGTGATTCACGTAACAACGTTGGTGAAAAATTTGTAAAATCAGGCACAGTTTACTTAATGACATATCACTTAGCAATACATTTCTTGTGCTAATTGTCATAAGTCAAGACTATCTGTACAAAACTGCAACAGTCATAAACGAAGGATTGGTTGTACTTTTTTGTCAACACTGTGCCTGCAAAGATTGCTAAACAAAGACTACCTGTACTCAAATACAGTTATCAATTTTTTTTAAAAAAGTGATATATGTGTTTCTTAATTTGTTAAATTGATAAAATATGATTCATTTCAGCTATAGGTTATTGAAAATAAAATTGTATTTTTTTTCTCATACAGGTCCATGGACACTCTAAAATCTAATCACAAGTGTCTTTGGACCTTTAGTTTAAAATCCCTTCTCTGAGCTAAAGAGACATGTACTATTGCTTTATTCAGTGCAAACATGTTTCTGTATTATGTATCCAAAAGTGTCCCTGTTAATTAACAAACACTTATTTAAATCCTTCATGGATGAAGAGATCTCATGTGTGAGCAAATGTATCATGAAAAAAGGAAGTTTGTTAATGTCCAAATATCAAAAGAAACATGCTCTAGTAATACAAAAGTGAACCATGTTAAGCATGAGAAATCACAAGTTCCCAATAATTACGGGTACTTGTTAGTGTATTCTAAATTTAGTTTGCATATTAATGAGCCTACATCAGAAAATTCTGGAGATTTGGACAGTGTTCTACTCTCTGTTTGCCTTTTTTACTCTAGAAAAGGCAGTTAATTATTTAATATCAAATAGATAATATTTTATATTGTACCTGAAAAGCTTTTGCTACTTTTATAGGACATTGAGTTCTTATGAGAATTTTTTTCTTTTTTCTTTTCTTTTTTATACAGGCAAATCCAGACCCAAACTGTTGTCTTGGAGTATTTGGATTAAGCCTATATACAACAGAAAGAGATCTGAGAGAAGTATTCTCCAAATATGGTCCAATTGCTGATGTTTCTATTGTATATGACCAACAGTCTCGGCGTTCTAGAGGATTTGCTTTTGTTTATTTTGAAAGTGTTGATGATGCTAAGGAGGTAAGGAATTGTCTTTATATTGAATTATATTAATGTGTGTAAAATTATGCTAATTAAAGTTGTATAAACAGATGTTTTCCAGAATAAAAAAGGAATATATTTCCTGAACATAGATTCATGTTATAGCTACATATACTTTTAAAAGAGAATACAACTGAAGTTTGTATGCTACAAGCATCAAGAATTTTGTTCACGCAGATTTTCCTTTTTGCATTTTTTTACACATACCAGTACATACTATATTTATATTCTATTTGTCCTCCATTAAATTAAATGGCCCATGTCTGTTACTCCCTCATTTTACCTTAAGACAGTGCAGTTGTCCACTGAATTTTATGATTTGAAGTAATTTCAGTGCATATTTAATTGTCTCTGGTATTTGAATTGTTACAGAGAATAGAGAAAGAATAAAGTTACCTTTATTATGACATTTCTCTAAAGAGCCACATAATTCTCTATTCTTATCTCTGTGAAATAAGTTAATGAGAGAAGATTATTGGTCAGGTAATCTCAGTAATTTAATAGTAGTTGTAGGGATTTGTACTCTTATTTGATTCTATCCTGTTTTGTTCAGTTGTGCCACAAATAATTTTGTGTATTACAAAATGTTTTATTCTTACATCAAACATAATCTTAGCCTGCTTTCATGACAGACAAATCACAACTTCTATGAAAATAAGACCCAGGCTATGATGAATAAATTCATCAAATAAATTGTATAAGTTATGGCACTTTTTTCAAGTAGATACTATGGGTGGTATTACAACATTGTTAAAGCTACTCTGATAGGCTTTCCACTCCAGCTATTACATTTATATCTACTTGTGATTACCGTAAGTTAATTTATTCTGCAATCTATTTTTAATCCTCATTTAGGCAAAAGAAAGAGCCAATGGAATGGAGCTTGATGGGAGAAGAATCAGAGTTGATTTCTCAATAACAAAAAGGCCCCACACACCTACTCCTGGAATTTACATGGGGAGACCTACTTAGTAAGTTTTTGTATCTTAATTCATTGGGTCAAGGTTTCCAACATTAATTCCATGTTTAATGTTATACATGGGCAGTTTTGAATATAGAACCCAACATTCTGTACCAGATATTCAAATTTGATACAAAATCTAGAATTATGAAATCAGTTAAACTTTTTTAAAATAATGATTAAACATAAGTTATTTTGCATTTTTTGCAGAACTGTTTTAGAAAATACAATGGAGTCCTTGTGCTCTCTGAGCTAGGTTGATTATTTTCACATGATTCATAACCATCTTCAGTGCTAAAAGGGAGTGGGGCACTTTGACCACTTTTACATACAGTAGCTTTTGGTGAGGGTATTTTCTCCTTGGTATTTCCTTGACTAGGCTATTGGTTACTGCTTGATTGTTTGGTGCTAATCCCTGATTTATCTGCATGTTGATTGCAGGCGAGGAGGTGTTCTGGGCTTTTTGTTTCCTTTTTAGTTTTTTTATTTACTTTTGAATAGAATGTCAATGTTATTTATAATTTTGTGTTATTGATTGGCTGATTTTTCTGAGTGCCAAGCCTCTGGGAATTCCCTAGCACTTTTTGGATTTAACTTGATCTAAGTAGCTCAGTTTCCTAATTGAAACCGTGGTTATGTCTCTTCATGTTTTGTGAAATTAAGGACTTTTCATCATATGTTCAGGCTAGTTGATATTCATGGATGTGCTCTGCTTGTCTGACTATATAGTGGCCGTTGCAGTCTTTACACTATATTATTGATGACTCCAGTTTTTCCCCCCTTGGGCTACTGGATCTTTTGGTTTACTTAAGATGTATTGAAGGCTTTCATTGGTTTATGTGCTACCATGATTCTGTGTGGTTGTAATAGTGTGTTGATTGTTTCTGAGATGTTTTTGATGAATGGCAGTGTTGTCTTTTTCATAGCTTATGTTGGTTGTGTTGTAGTGGGTTGAGTGGTCAGGCACTCTTTGATAAATTTGCTTAGTTATCCATTTTGTTGGAAATTGTACTGGGTTGCTTCAGTGCATTTGTGCTTGTCTGAATAATGTTCTTAGATAGCACCTCTTGTGGGCGGTTGAATTGTTACTTGTTTGGTTATTAGTTTGGCTGTTTTTCAGTTTGCTGCCATTTCCACTGCTGATGGCCAGTATGTTATTGTTTTTTTCCTCCAGTGAATGTTACTCCTTTGAAGATGTTGACTATTTCAAGTGTCCTCTCTAGCTTTCATTATGACAAAGGTATCATCTACATACCAAATCCATACTTTTGGCTGTGTGTGGGAGTGCTATAGCTTCTAGACACTGGATTACAGTCTCTGCTAAGAGTCCTGAGAATGGTGATCCCATGGGCATTGATTTTCCATAAGTAGGAAATCATTATCATGGGTATTTGAAATATGAGAATGATTGTGTATGGGCACATTGCAGACATAGACATGCACACACATATATTTTTCAGATATAAAATATTTTACATTTGAATCTTTTTACACAATGCTATGTGTTGTGGTGATACTAAGTCCTTACTTATAGGACAATGCTCCAAACCTCACTGCCTCTGTCAAGTCTTTCAGCCTTAAAAAGATTATATGGGAGGCATGAAGGAAAGAATCAATTGGTAAAAAACAAGATATTATATTGCAAAACAGGTCTCATTCTTTTTTGCCATCCGGATTTCATAGTCTGTGTGAAAGGGGCTCAGGTGGCCTAGGGCTCAAGATGCTGGGCATAGCCACCAGACAGTTAATAGTGTGAGACCCAAAGTACCGTGCGACGGGATGAGGTCTCATTCTTGCCCTAGCTTCTGTTCGACTGGCCGTTCAAAAGCATGCAAATGCAAGTAGATAAATAAGTATCAGTTTAGTGGGAAGGTAACAGTGTTCCTTGCACCTTGGCATATAGTCATGCTGGCCACATGACCACAGAAGCCTTTTCAGACAACACTGGCTCTCTCAGCTAGAAAACGGAGATGAGCACCACCACCTAGAGTCAGACATGACTGGACAGCGGAAACCTTTACCTTTTTTTAAAAAAAAAAAATCTTTATAGTTTTACAACATATCAAGCTGTAATATTTTCCTACAACTGACAAGCAGAATGCTGTTGTATGTTGTTCTACTTACACCTGATTTATGAATGGATACAACTAACAAACCATAAGCTGTTCTACCAAGGATTAATTTAGCAAATCAGAAATGAAAAAGGTATTGGTTTCTACAGCATGATAAACAAGCTATGGATGGATTTATCCATGGCAGATTAGGCAACATGCAGCTGCAGGCCAGTCAATCATAAGGCTGACTCAGAACTGTATTTGAAGAGAAAATTATTAGATGCCTCCAATACATGAATCTCTTTCAGGAATGCACATGAGTAATCATGTTAGCACAGAAAAAGATATATTTCTGACTGTTTCTACATGGACTGCCTAGATATGTTCCAAGTTACATTGTGTTCTTTAAACCTGAATCAGCGCACAGCCCTAGTTTTTATTGAGCAATATTGTAGCTTTCTATGTTTTAAATGTGAATATGAGACACATAGAACATTCTGTTTTGGCTGCAGTAACAGTAGTCTTCGACTGACGGCCATAATGAAGCCGATCATAAGTTGTGATTATCATAAAATAGGGCAGTCATATAACCAACCTGATTTACAATCTTTTTTGCACCATCGTAAAGCGACCGCCACAGTCATTAAGCAAACCAATGGTTCAATATGGGATCAGGTTTGCCAAAAACTGGAAGTATATGCCAGCTTTTTGGCAAAATGATTGTAAAACAAGTGATGTGACTGCAGGACACTGCAAATAGTCATCAATGCGACCTGATTGCCAAACAACTGAAATTTGGTCACATGACCCAACCACTAGAACTTTGAATCTGGGTTGTAAGTAACCCTGAGGTAAATTCATCGTAACTTCGAAAAGTTGCTAAGCAACCAGTCTTAAGTCAAGGACTGTCTGTAATATATCTTTCCCCAACTGATTCTCATTGACAATCTCATATTTTTAAAACTTAAGGTTGAGGGCATATCAGTCTGCAAATACGGCATTGAGTAGGAAGAATTAATGTGATTTCTTAAGCCACATTAATAGCATAGTACACATAGCAGTTGTTTCATTATGTATTTAGCGCATTGTGTGACCCGCAAAAAGCTTTAAAATCATTCTCATCTAGAAATATAACAATGATCTAGGGAAAAAAAGAAAGTTAGCAGATAAGATGTGACTGCAAGTAATATAATTGCCTTCATAATGTAAAATTTGATATAACTGGTTTAACAAATTTTTCTGGTATTGAAGTATTTTATATGTTGTTATATTTTTAATATATACTATATTATTTAAGCAGTATTTGATAGAAAAATGGGAAACATTTAATGCTTTTTACTTTCATTCATATATGTGTGTGTGTGTGTGTGTGTGTATATATATATATATATATGTCCATTTGTCTTTCTAATATTATATATATACTTCTCATTTAGTGGTAGTTCCCGACGGAGAGACTATTATGACAGAGGTTATGATAGAGGCTATGATGACCGTGACTATTACAGTAGATCATACAGGTGAGCCTGTCTGCCTGTTTATCTCATCCCCTCCCCCCCCCTTTCTATCATCCTCTCCATCTTTTTTTTCTTAACAGTACCAGCAATCTCCCCAAATCTGTATAATTGTTTTCTTGATAAAATTGCATATTCTTCTTTCGTAACTGTAGTTTATTTATATGGCTGCCCAACTTATGAAACACAGTTCTGGGTGACTCAATAGCAGTAAAAAAAAAAAAAAGAACAATACAAGAAAAACCCTCTTCCAACATTTCCAGGCTTCAAATTCACACTATTCCAGCACATGGGGAGAAGAGCCTTCTAGAAGGGTAAGAAGGTGGGAGCCTGCCAGATCTTGGGGGAAGAAAGTTTCACAAAGTGGGGTTACTGTGGAAAAAAGGCACAGTTCCTAGATACCAGTAAATGGCAATATTTAAGAGAAGGAACCTAAAACTTGCTCACTCTAATCAGCCTGACTCCATGACATGTAGGACTTTAAAGGTGGTAGCTGTCACCTTGAATTGCACCTGAAAAAAACCTGGGAATTAGTGCAGCCTAGGCAGTGGCAGTCTATTATGGGCAAACCTTGGAACATACAGTGCAGCATGTACCACCTCACTCTGGACCAATTGTAACTTTTGGGTTGCTTTCAAGGCCAATGATTCAATAGTCCAGCTGGGAAGTGACAAAGGTATGAGTGGCCAAGACCTTCTGATCCAGGAATGGATGTGATTGGTGTCCAAAGCGAATCTGTGAAAAAAGCCTCCTAACCATGGCTACACCCTGCTTCACAGGTAGAAGCAGTAAATTCACAAGTACACCAAATTGCCAACTCTGTTCAGAGGTGTGCTACACTGTCAAGAGTCAAATATAACACAGCAGCAGATCGCAGGGGGTCAAATATCTAAAGCCACTTCAAGTTGCTAGGATTGAACCCATTCAGACCCTCATAACTTTTGGACACTACTCACCACCACAATAGTCCAGCCAGAGCTGGAGATGTATAACCCCGTGCTGTCGAATGATCTTACCCAGTAGTTCCATGTAAATGTTAAAAGAGAACAGTGGGAGACCAAGCCTTAAGGCACCCCATGTGCAGGGCCTTAGGGCTAGGTTTCTCCCACTCAACACATGACTGAAAACTAGACACAGAAGGAGAAAAACCACTACAGTGTCTCCCAATTCCAAGATTTCTATTGCCTAGAAATCTAGGAGAACCAGGATGGTTTGCATAGCTCCATGCTAAGTCATCTACAGTACCATCTTCTAGTGTGCCCCAGCCTGAACCAAGACTAAACAGTGCTTAAAACTGCTTATTTATCATTTGTACTGATAACCCACGAACAATTGATTGTCTGAATATAAAAGTATTGCTTATATTTGGTTATTGTGTGAGGGTGTGTATACCAAACTATCGCTTATGTTCAGACAGATAGAATAGTCACACTAAAACAGTAGTTATTGCCATGGAAATACTTTTTTTCTATATGCTTTTATCTTTTTTAATATTGTAAGCTTTCCGTGGTGCTTGAAATGAACAGCCCTATAAATCTAAACAGAATTGATTTTCTGTTTGCAAGGGTTTTGATAAAAGCCAGCTCCTGGATACTATGACTGAATTTTTCAGCTATATATTAATGAGTATTCAAAAATAAGTTGCAAGTCTAAATATGTCCAAATAATAGAATGCTCCAACATAATTTTTATAAGAAAAGGCTATAATGTTTGGGATTCTTTAGCTTAGAAAAAAGGCAACTCAGACACAAAGTGAATATAGGTAGTTTTCACGTAACAACCATAATCAGGATTGGAATTTTTGTAGCTAACTGAACCAGTCATTAGGTGATTGCACCGCTTAGCAATGGCAGTTCTATTAATCCTGGTTGCAGTTGTTAGGGGGAACCTCACACCTCTCCTCTCCTGTCACAAGAGACCAACAACTGCCTTGTCAGCAATGAGAGGAAGGAGATGGCGAATCAGCTGAGGAAAATAGATGTAGGTGGAATGAAGTGCAGAGAGACCAAAAGGGCAGAGATGGGGGAGGGGGGTAGGTGGGAGTGTTGAAGTGTGTAGTGCAGTCATAAATGTAGGCAGGCTGCCAAGCACTCAGATTTTGATCACAATCATGGGGTTGCTGTGCAAAGCCGTAACTTCAAGGACCAGCTGTAACCACTATTTATTCATGCCATTTTAACTTTGAATGGTCTCTGGATGAACAGTTAAGTGAGGATTACTAGTAAAATCAGGCATGGTGTAGAAAAATTAAATAGAGCAGAGTTTTTCTCCCCTTAAAATACTATGGCCAGGGCTTTTAAAAGGAGACTTGGCAGTTTCATGGAAGATCAGGTTATGAGTTGTTTCTGATGCTGTTGTTTTAACAAATGTTTTTTAAAATATTCTGCTACTCTTTCACAGAGGAGGTGGAGGTGGAGGAGGATGGCGAGCTGCCCAAGATAGGGATCAGATGTACAGGTATGTACATGCAAGCAATGGTGAAATGGGAATCTCTTTTGGACAGTGGTAAAAATCTATATGGAGGGGTATCCTCAAAGCCAACATTGGTGGAGGACTGTTTTACCTATTTTCCAAATAAATATTTTGATCTAGCTATATTAAGAAGTGGAGGCAGATCATTATTACATATTATAGTACAAAACACAATTCTGCCACATTTAAAATTAAAATGTATTATATTGAGCAATCTTATCATTTCTAATTTCCAGTTGTAGTTCATTTATATGTTACTCAAGTAACATTAATTCAGATGCAGTAGCAATAACATTACTGCTTGGACTAAAAACTAGCTCTAAGGTTAACCTTCTAACTTTCTTCCTGGCTTACCTGATTTGATGTCTACTGCACAATATTATTAAGCAGATTGTAAAAATAGTGGCATTTAATAATAACAGCCCCTTTGGGTTATCTTTCCAGAATGTATTTTCTTACCTAAACAGAAAAAGAATGACCAAGGGTGCACAAAAAAGCAGTGGAGCAGGAGCGACTTTCAGCTTCCCGATAGCTATTCTATTGAGTTTCTTTGTGGAAATCTGGCAGGGAGCATTGGAAATCCGATTTCCTTCCTTAGGAGGGGCTAAATGGCTGCTGCTAGGTGGGAGAGGGAGCAAAGGATTGTGAAACTGGCTGGGAAACTGTCATGGAACATTGAAAATGGACAACACATGACAGCAGCAGCCAGTACTGGAGCAGTCACAACTTTTCCAAATTTCATTACCTCAGGAAATCATGGGTCCCAGACTTTGGGTGCATTCTGTAAATTAAACATTTGAGATACCTGGGTTCAAAAATTGTTGCCCTATGATGTACCATTTCACTCAGTTAAAAATCATTAGAGTTTTAATAGTACACAAACTATAGATTTGAAGGATCCATGATGATTCAGTATTCTTGTGTACTATCCTTGATATGTGTAGCTACCAAGGTTATTGGTTGCAGTGCAAGTTAGTGTGTATATCCATATGCACATCATCACTGTCACATTTTTTGTGCAGGAGAAGATCACCATCTCCATATTATAGCCGAGGGGGTTATAGATCCCGTTCCCGGTCTCGATCCTACTCACCTCGTAAGTAACACATTCAGCTGAATAAAATTTTGCCATTACAGGCCAGTAGAGTTAATGTGGACCATAGCAGTATATAAATATTTTGCTATAAACCTATAATAAACTCTTTGAACTAAGAGCTGTGCAAAACATTTGAAAGTTATGCTTTACAAAGAATAGTATTACAAGCAAAGAATTAAACTATTAATCCATATCCTGTTTTTCGTGCTCTTGTTAAGGTTTGATTTCCCATCAGTATTTGAAATAACTTTATCAGTTATGATTTTTCTCAATATTAATTACATTTATATAGCTAAAAGTTTTATTCAAATCAATCCTCTTATCCATATTTCCCATATAAAAGAAAAAGAAAAAAATGCTATCTTAATTCTAAATCATATCTTTCATTATAAAAATCTAATTATATCTAAGGGTCATCCGTTCTTTTAATCTTATTCAAATAAGTATTTAAATGTATAATGCCCCAACTCTAAAAGGTCAAATCTTCTGTTTTTTAAATGTGACTCTAGTTTTCTTTCTTTGCCAAGTTGTTTTCCAAGCCAGGGCAATTAGATCGCCCAGGAATTTTCTTTCTATTTTTGTAAAAATTGCTTGGCATGAGGAAGACAATTTAAGTAGGGTATTTTGGGGGGGGGGAATTCCGCCCATTTGTATTCTTTAAACAACTCCCAGTTCCTTTCTCCCTCCATGTCTCTTTTCATTCCCTGTCTCCAAAGTTGTGACATTTCCCTTAACAGCTCTATAATCGCTTTTTTAAAATCTTCCTTGCCATCAGATATATTTTACAGAGCTAAGGGGTAAAAGGTCTTTGAATTTTTATTGTTATAGCTAAGTCTTGCAGTATTTTGTTTGTATATAGTCGTTTATATTTCCCTTCTTTTATTTCTTCCATCTTTAAATCCATTTCCTCCGTTTCATCTTCTGATTTCTGGATTATTAGTCGTTTTCTGGGAACTTTCTAGTTGTAGATTTAATTTGGAGATTTGCTTGTTTATATTGTCTAAATTGTTTTTAGTCTCATTATGATTTCTTTTTATGTCCTCTTTGCATTCAACAATTGTTTGGTGAATTAGTTGTAGCATAGAATATATTTCTTTCTGAAAGGTGTTTGTTTTTTCTTGAGGCATCATTCCTGAAGATCCTTTAGTATCACCAGACTCAGTAAGAGTAGATCAAAGTCTTTATATGTATCCTTTAAAATCCAATAGACTCCAAAGTATATAGGTTCAGTTCTGAAAGCAATATTTTATAGTAATCCTTTGTCTCAATATCCAAAAATTGTCAATCAGGCAAAGTAATCCACAATGTTCGAAGTGTTCAAAATGTTCAACCTCTCTGAAAACAGCTCAAAAGTCTCTCCCAGCCAGGCATAGTCCAAGGTCCAATTTTTCTTTCTCTCCCACTAGCTCTTGGAGTTAAAAGTCCAAGCTCAGTAGGTATTTATAATCCAAGAAGGTCAGGATAATAAGCATGCCAAAATATTTTCCTTTATTGCCAGCTATTCTCCCAAGCTAGGAATCACCAAGCAGCCAGGAGGCAAATTATAGTGCTATGCACAAATCCACCACTAGATGTCATTCAAAGTCCATTTCTCACTCTTAAAACAAAAGATTGATTTCTTATATTTCACCTCAATGTGGTTTTTTTTTTCAAAGAAAATCTTAACAATTATCTCAGTTCTCAAAATTATTAAAACTAGCTTTATGTTACTTCCACTTCAATATTATATGTTTCTGTCCCCCATGGAGGTTTTTAGCTTCTTGGGAACCTTTCCCAGGAAATTCAGTTGTAAAATAGTAAAGAAAAGATCAATATTCTCACCCAGTTCCAAACATGCTGTTTACGATGTATTGAGTAGTGCTTTTTTCTTCTTTGGTTGTCAGCAGATAATGGCTGGCCACAGGAATGTAGCCGGTCTTTCCCCTGCCAGTTTGGAGGGGTTTGCTTGTATCGAACGGAAAGACCGCCATCTCTCCATAATAAACAAGGCACCCCTCCTCTTCCGGGCGATTTTAGGCCTTTTTTAGGGCCCCCAGCAGGGCGAAATCAGGCGCGGAAGGCAGGGCTCTGCCTTCCTGCGTCCTGTCTCACTGCGACGCAAATCGGAAGTCTACCTGCTTTAATCTTTTGATAAGCAGTGTTGCCCTAACATGTTTTGCAAAGTATTTCTAGAATACTGGTTCACTAAACTCATTTGTCCACTGTTCATTTCATTATCTCATTATCTTCAGTTAACGAAAATAATGTTTATCAGAGGTTTGAATTAATTCAGTTGTATCCAAATGAAATAAAGCAGTAGTTTTACTAGTTGGAGGCTGTTTTTTGCAGAACAAATCCTCATAACATAATTGGGGGAAAACTTTGCATTTCTCCTTCAGTGGACAGTGTGGTAATCTAATATTTTTAGTAAGTATATTTTTTTCCTGGTCCTGTTATTAAAAAAAATAATAGTTGTGTTTTTTACTTAAAAAAAGCACAAATACTGCCAAGTATTTGTCTGACTTTAAACTGAACCTCCTATTCTCAATTGTCTTCACTTTGATACCAAAACATTGTTTTGGAAAGAAAATATTTTAACTATTAAATTAATTAGCTTTTACCATGAACCCCATTGGTATATATGCATGTGTACTTGTACTTATTCTTGTTCCTCAAGGGTTCCTAGGTGACTTTGTGAAAATTTTGGACCTATATTCTTGATACAAATGTTATCTCAATAAATAGAATATGTTGGAATAACACACCAACAAGGTCTGTTTTCTGGGTTAAATTTAGATTCATTTTAAAATTAGTCATTAACTTCATTAAAAAGTAATATTTTAAAGAGACCCTTTTGATCCAAATAGAAATTAATACTGTTATTGGATTGAAGGACTAAGTTAAAAGTGCATAAACCCATTTTGCTTTTGAATATGTAGGCATGGTTCAAAGTCTGCTTGCATTGTATCATTTATGCACACACATTCTCTAAATTACCAAAACATTTACAAAATAGTGGGAAATTGCACAGCAATTTATGGGTAAATTGACAAATTGTGACTTCCCCTTTATTAGCACATTTTGCAAATAGGAAAAGAAATCTGAATCTATGCATAAGGGGAAAATGCCTCCAATAGTGTCCAATAGTATTCTGTATTATTTCTCCAAATAGTATAGTTTATAACAATGTCTTTTGACAGGTTTGCAGAGATTCAAAATTCTAACTGGCTTCTTTCTTTCGGCATTGCAGGTCGCTATTGAAGTGAGAAAATGAAGACTTTATAGCTGCAAACACCGCAGTGTGATTGCATACTTGTTATTTTTGTTCAGTTGAATGGTGCCTAGTGAATTAGGTGACTTTTACACCTTTTATGGAGAATATTTTGGTGAAGTTTTAAAGTGTTGTACCATTCTGCATATTTGTGTAGTTGGTGCTTTGTTCAGAATTGTGTTTTGAGAAAAGTATGTCTTTCGCATGTGTTTAGTCTGAATTTTGCAGAAGGATTTCTGTTATCTAAATTCTTCAATTTTTTCAGTTTCTAGGGTATTTTGAAGATCAAAACCTGTGTAATATGCATTGAAATGGTGGCATAATAAACATTTTTTTACTTACTTTGAAGTTTGTATCTCTTATTTAGCCAAAGTACAATCAGAGGGGTAAAAGGGGATATACAAATGTGGATTGGTGACTAATTGCATGGCAAGAATCTGCTAATGTGCATGAATACACTAGAAGCTGTCCTTACAGAACAGTGAAAGAAAGTCCCTACTGTACTCCACAGCTAGTATCAAAATTGGTACGTATTTTTGCAGATTTATGGAACAGACTGCACAGATAATCCTAAAACCTTAAAAATTGATAGCCAGTAGTAATCCAGGAGCATATATTTAATGTGATCATAAATAATTTTGAAACTAAAGTGAGTTGTGTAGGAGGTTAACCTAATAATATTTTATCTCTAAAAAATTTAAAAAGTGGCTGCTCCTATGTTTTGTCTAACAATACAAATGTGTGACTGTAATATTTTTGTTCGCCTTTCTGTGCTGAAGGGCAATCCATGTCTCCAGAACAATCATCCTGTATCCAGGTAGCATTGACTGGCTAGGGCTTGCAGTTTGTTTATAAGGATGCAGGAAGATAATGACACTTTAGGTTGCCAGTTCACGTATTGCATGAATGGGATAATTTCTCATCACAATGTAAGGCATGAAATAGTTGACCAAGATTTGACTGTTGCTCCCATTAACCAGTTTTCACCCAGGGTATAATAAAGTTCTGCTTTCTGCACACTCATTAATATTTTTTTATCAGATTTGTTCAAACCTCCTATTTTCGTTTTTGTTTCTTCCTGTCTTATTTAAATAAAAAATTTAACTTTTCTATGAATTGGTCTGCGGAAGACAGATATATTCCACTTACAGCCATTATAACATCTATAATGTGGTACGGGTACCACCTGTGGTACATTGGCACCTGGCAGGTGGTACTCGACCATCCAGGAAAAATGGTAGCGGGGGAGGGGAATGAGCTGAACCGGGGGCAGCACTGCACAAGCCTGAGCGAGAGATGGCTGGAGTTGCAAGGCTGTCAGGCTCAGCAGAAGCACCAGGATCAGCACTTCTTCAGGACTGTCAGGGCTCAGTGGAAGTGCCAGGATCAGCGCCAGGCTCCAGCTGGAACTCGGCGTTGATCCTGGCACTTCTGAGCCCAGAAGAAGTGCCGATCAGCTGGAATGTTGCAGCATCTCTAGGGTCTTGTGATTTACATTCAGATGCTTGGCGACTGATTCATATTTATGACTGTCACAGTGTCCCAGGGTCATGTGAAGTGACCAAAACCTGCTGCAACCACCCAGCAGATGGGGGGAATAAAAACCAAACCCCCCCCACCCCCACTGCCAATCCTCAACAGAAATGCTCACAACAAGGAAAACCTCAGACAGAAGGAAGAGCGCCGCCGGGTGGGTGAGCAGGTGTCTTGCTCGGCACTTTTTTCAGTGCCATTGTAACTTCGAACAGTCACTAAGCGAACTGTTGTAAGTCAAGGACTACCAGTACTTCACGTTTTCCCCCCCTTTTTTTTGGTCATCGTCATCAAGTTTTTGACACCATGCTAGGCGACGTGGTACTCAGATATTGCCATATCTTAAAAGTGGTACAATGGGTGAAAAGGTTGAAAAGCCCTGATCTAAGGTATCCTGATCAGAAGGTTTTGTACAATCAAAACAATATATTTGATACTGGTAAGAAGAATCATTGCAAGCCAAAGATCTATATTTGCCAACGGAAAAGAATATATGCATCTCAAGGTTGAACTAGCTCAAGGATCAACTATACCAAAACCCAATTCAACCCAAAACTATTTATTCAGGGGACACCTCAGAATTGGAAGAATTCCAATTTGCTATTAGAGGATCACATCACACCATTCCAAAGTCTCCTGATCCAAATAACTGCCTTTTGGGAAGCAAGGATGTGTTGTAACTTTTTTCCTTTTGAGATTCCAGCATTATTACTGTATTGCTATCCAGTGCAGCTGGATCTTTAAGGGCCACCAGAGGGCAGTCACCACCATTTCAAAGCTAATAAGTCATTTATAGCTTGCACTTAACTGTTGCAGGAGCTGTTCTATCTCCCACCTCTGCCCCTAAAATGGTACACTATGTGTTTGTTAGACTTGTATCTCACTTTCAGCAATTTGAGACAACATATATAACATTCTCTCCTGTCATTTTGCCCCACAGCAACACCCTTGTGAAGTATACTTGCAGATAACAAAAAAATGCTCAGTAGAGTTGTTAAAAGAGTATCTGGCTGATATAAACACAAGGAGAATCCTCAAAATCTTGTTTAATGCAAAAAATAAAATAAAAACAGGTTTTAAAGTAAAATTAATGCAAATTCAAACATTTCTTAATGGGTCAGAATACAATATTTAGACAAAACTGGACTTGCTAATCTACAGTATCTACTATAAATCTAATGTCTTCCAATCTGATAGGAAGGAGGAATAATGCAGAGATTCAGGTTGAATATTGCCATGCCCATCTTTGGAGTTGTTTCGTGTCACTTCTTCAAAGGCAATGATCTCTGGATAGCCAAAAGAGATTTCCAAATTGATGATTCAGGAATTCTGGAAGTTGAAGTCAATAAGTCGTTGCCATAGGTGCCCACCCTGTCTTGGTGGATACTTCAGATCAGAAAGGAGCAGAAGTCCTGCCAACTGTATTGTTTCCCAGGGGAGGGGGGGAGGGATGTTTTATTGAGACCAGAAATTATGTTTCCCAAGCCAACTTTGTTTAATTCTAAATTCCGCAGCACTAAATCTCATCTCAGAATTACCTGGATTATTTTTCTCCATTTTCCAAATCAAGGAAACTAAATTTATGACACAGTGTTTTAGTGAGGAGAGGATGATCTCATTATATTCCAACCCGAGTGCTTAGTTCAACCTCTCAGTTAACATTTTACATCTGCCCTCATCCCTTGTGAAGGGAAACCAAACATCAAGCATCTTTAGGCATAGTTATTACTTTTTCCGCAATAAAATTTCCAGGGGTTTATTCCATAGTTTTTGTAATTTCCAAAAATAGTCAGTCATAGATTTAAATCAATACATTGTGGTGTATCACACGTTTGGTCAAATCTCTACTGTACAACCTGCAAACATGACTTCTATAAATTTGACAGAACCGTATCTTTATGTACCAGGTGACCATGTACAAAGGAAATTTCTCTGAGGTAACTGTTAAATTCAGAACTGTCCCTTTTCATCCAACTTACTTTGTTACATAAAAGTTGCAAGCTCAGACTTGACAGTAACCCTGAGCTGGATCCAGGACTGTGGGGTTTTGATATAGCAACCAAAAGCTTGCTCATGTTAGTTGACTCACTTTTCATTAAGGAGTATGCATAGATATCAAGATCAGTCTAATGCCACTGCCTTCAAAGAAAACCACCACATTGCAATTCAGCATTTAAATATCCAAGTAAAAGTGGTGGGCATTTCTTACATCGGCCAAACTTCCAAATCTCATGTTTCATAACATGGGCCAAATTTCATCCAGGTGCACTAATAAGGTTTCTCTGCCCATGATACATCAAAAAGTGTCAGTATGCCAACTTCCTCTTTGGCTTTTCTCAACACAAGCTCCTCTATTTAAAACTACTGAGAGTGATTGGCTATAAAATTTACAACATGGGAAGTGCACTAAGAGTTGGCATCTTGGGGATCTGTTTTCTCAAGTAGCCAAACATTTCTAATGGTTGGAGATGAAGGCAGTTTTCCAGTCATGAGAGCCTGAGTTTATAAGAATGTAAGAGCACCATGAGGTAGAATAGTTAAGGAGAAACAAGATTCCACAAGAAGGATTATACTGTCTAAATTTTTCCTTTCCTTCCTCCTCCTATAGCCCACGGAGTCAAGGAGGAGCCAATCAGTATTTTTTCTTCTCTTAACATTTTTTTCCATTTCCATGGGCTTAGCACATTTCTCAGTACCAGTTGTTGTCCTAATAGCTTTTGGATGCCTTCTCCAACGTCATTTCCAAAGGTTCCCTACAGAATGATAACTGGCTTCCCAGAGTGGGGATACATATTCATTCATCTCAAGCAGAAACAAACTTGGCGAAGGCATGAATACTGTCACAGAAAGCAAAGGCAGATGCCTTAGCTCACCCCTTTCTTGGGGTAGGAAAAAGATGTTTCTTTTAAAATCAGAAGCAGAACTGTAGGGAAACAGAAAAGTTGTGTGTTGGTTGTTTCCTTGTCCTTCACACATTTCAGCTCTGCCCTCTCCTATTTTTATTGATGAGGATGTAGGAGACTAGCAAACATTGCTTTGATTCCTCAGCAGGGTGCATTAGTCTGGGATCAGAACTGGCTGTGGAATTCTGGAAATTGAAGTCTACACATCTTAAACTTGCTGAAGTTGAGAAACATTGATCTAGAGCAGGGCTTTTCAACCAGTGGTATGGGTACCACCTGTGGTACATTGGCACCTGGCAGGTGGTACGCGACCATCCTAGAAAAGTGGTAGCAGGGGAGGGGAATGAGCTGAACTGGTGGTAGCACCACACAAGCATGAGCGAGAGATGGCTGGAACTGCAGGGCTGTCAGGGCTCAGCAGAAGCGCCAGGATCAGTGCCGCTTTCCAGCTGATCGGCGCTTCTTCGGGGCTGTCAGGGCTCAGTGGAAGTGCCAGGATCAGCGCTAGGCTCCAGCTGGAGCTCTGCGCTGATCCTGGTGCTTCTGCTGAGCCCTGAAGAAGCACCAATGAGCTGGAAAGCAGCACTGATCCTGGCACTTCTGCTGAGCCCAGAAGAAGCGCCGATCAGCTGGAATGTTGCAGCATCTCCAGGGTCTTGTGGTTTACATTCAGATGCTTGGCAACTGATTCATATTTATGACAGTCACAGTGTCCCAGGGTCATGTGAAATGACCAAAACCTGTTGCAACCACCCAGCAGATGGGGAGAATAAAAACCAAACACCCCCACCACCACCTACGTTGCCAATCCTCAATAGAAATGCTCACAACAATGAAAACCTCGGACAGGAGGAAGAGTGCCGCCGGGTGGGCAGGCAGGTGTCTTGCTCGGCTGT